AGAAAACGAGAAAATATCACCTTCGAAACTCGAAGCACGAAACTCCCTGTGAAACACATCTTAAATTAATAATACGAATATCTTCAGCTAAGTAGCGGCAAATGTTGATGCAAAATTAATCAATTACTTACATCTATATTCTACTATTCAAACGATACCGAGCTCCGCTTATACGCCTAATTAATTACTTGTGTTAAACTTAAAATCGCATTAGACATTTGGGCGGTTAACTTTACCTTGCACTTCAACCTTCTCACTAGCAATAATTCTCATGAGGTTAACAATTATACAAAACGCATTAAGTGTGTGAATCTCTAATGAACTGTGCAAACGAAGTTCCCAGTGGTTTTTATCCCGTTCTGGGCACCATGGAGTTGCACCATGAACTTCAACTGATAATCGGAAGGGGTTTTTAATTGAAAACCGGCATTTCGGAAACGCACAATCGGGTACGATAAATCCAGTTATCCAACCGAAGCGATCTACAGAGTTTTGTTTAAACTCCTGGTGGTGTCCGAAAGGGCGGGAAGGGATTTTAGTTTACATTCGAATGCTGTTTACACAACGATAGGCGAAAGCGTGACTGTTGAATTGGCGTTGCTCAAACAAAATCTATTTATTGTATGGCAGTTCGTTCAAATGACTGGATATATTTATTATATATGTGATGGGTTTACGGGGTGGTCCGATGAACCAAATTAAGCAAACTAATTCTGCTAGTTTGTAACATCAAATTAATGCAAAGTTTGCTATTGATTTTAATACACCATCAGTTGCAATTAGAATACCATAAATTTCCTGTTAATGAATTTACCACAACTTTCCCAGTTTTTTTATTTAGTTAAACAAATCGTTTTTATCGTTTGCTTGGGCTGAAATTTGCGCTGTTTACGTCGCTCCCGTGCGGGGGATAAACTCGGAAATAAAAATTTTATTGTCCGAGGAAATTGCGTTGTTGCAATAATGATAAGGAACGCTATAATATTAAAAGCTATAGATGTCGCTTCGAACGGAGTAGCGCGATTTATATCTATTTATTTTGACTTTTTATGTTTCAATTCTTCGGTTGTAAATTACGGCTCGTCGAGGAAAGTCGCCTTTATTACGGCGCAACAAGGTTTGTATAATATTTCTTTGCTGTTGCTCTATATTCAGAGTTTTCGCTTTGATGTGGTGGAAATAACGATTTTTGTTAATTGATTGTCTTTCGATAGGCGACAGGAACTGTTTCGAAAATGAAAATGGATATTTTTAATGGACGCTTTATTTTAAAATCACCGTTATAGCTAGTGACCTCAGCAAACAAAGAGTGGGTGTTAATGAAGCAATCGTATGTCCTTTATAAAAAAAAAATACCAGCGTAGGTGTTTCCTATAAATAAAAATACAATCCCAAAGACCCTTTTGTGTCCTTGTGTTTATTGAAGTGTTATCACTATTGTCTGCTCGAGCTGCTAAGCCGAGTGTGAATTTTTTTAATAAAAACACGGGATATTCAAATGCTATGAAGCGTGCTGGAGAAAGGCCGATAAAGAAAATTTAATTCTACCTTCGCCGCTCTAAATCAAATCTCCGCGAATTTTCCAGATAACCCCCTCGAACTTCGTCCAATTACTAAACGAACAAACGCGAGTTCGAAACGCAATAAGGTAATTTTTCTCTAATTAAATAACAAGAAAAGTTAAATTTCACACCGGATTATATCCAATTAAAAAACAGTTGTGTATCGCACGAAAATAAATACTTAACTGAATAGGTAATATTTAATTAAACCCGGGGAAAGTTCGCAGCGAAAATTAGAAAAGTTTTTCGTTATTTCGCTCAACGCATCCGACTTATTTGCTTCTCGGATCCGTTCGTTTTACTTATTTAGGTGAGTACACTTGATTACCCGCCTTTCTCGGGGAATATTTCCGAATTTACCTGTTTTAATGCGGTTGTTTTTCGCCGGGAAAGTTTCCCCTGCCTTCTTAAAGCTTCCTAAATAAAATTCGCGACTAGATATGAACTAAGAAAAATAATTAAAATATGGCTACATAGCTGGTACAATAACTAAAGCAATTAGTAAATTGGGAAAGATTCCAGTCGACTCGGGAAACTAGAAATCACTAGATGATTCGCTACAGTCTGAAATACGATCGAAAATGAAACGAACAAATAAAAAAAGAAGAGGAATAAAAGCAAAACTGGGCGCGCCGGTGACATCTGTTGTTCCGCTCCGGCGACACATAAAACCCTAATGAACCGAATTCGCGAAACAAAGGGCGCGATGCGAGCAGGAAAAACCAGCCCGATGGCTCCGAATGGGCGAATGTCGCAGAATCGGATGTTTTTACCCGATCTATTTCGATTGTAACGAGAACCGATGGAAATAAAATGTGCCGGCGCGACAACACAACAGGTTCCTGATGGTTCGATGGCCATGCAGGAAAGCTCTAATTGATCAAAAATGCGAAATTCGAGCTTTTTTTTTGGATGAGTTAATGCTAGGTGGGATGCTGCAAAGTTGTAGATTTTCTAGTGGAAATCTGGAGGGGTTAATTCGCTTCAAAGCAAGTTTAAAGTGCAATTTTCTTAGCCTCAAAGTTCAACCTGGTTAGACCAAAACGAGCCAAACCAAATGATGGTAAAAGAAATTCGAGCTTTTCTGGATGCCTTAATGCTAGATGGGATGCTGCAAATTTGTAGATTTTCTAGTGGAAATCTGGATGAGATTAATTCGCTTCAAAGCAAGTTTAAAGTGCAATTTTCTTAGCCTCAAAGTTCAACCTGGTTAGACCAAAACGAGCCAAACCAAATGATGGTAAAAGAAATTCGAGCTTTTCTGGATGCCTTAATGATAGATGGGATGCTGCAAATTTGTAGATTTTCTAGTGGAAATCTGGATGAGATTAATTCGCTTCAAAGCAAGTTTAAAATGCAATTTTCTTAGCCTCAAAGTTCAACCTGGTTAGATCAAAATTCGAGCTTTTCTGGATGCCTTAATGTTAGATGGGATGCTGCAAATTTGTAGATTTTCTAGTGGAAATCTGGATGAGATTTCTTAGCCTCAAAGTTCAACCTGGTTAGACCAAAATGAGCCAAATCAATTTGTGGTAAAAGCTTCATCTATGCATTTGTGCTGCAAATGAGTTTGGTCAATTGGATGGAAAAAAAATCGAAAATTTTTAAACGATAGAACATCATTGTTCGTTTCGTCGTTATCGGAGCGATTCGAACGTTTCGAAACTTCGTATGATATTTGCTTTGTGATTATCGAATCGCGCGATGAGCGCCACTTTTTTTTTATTCAATTACACTCCTTTCTTTTCGCCTCTTTACCCTTTGCCGGTTTTTATCAAAGCTTCGAGCGGCAATTTATTTCGAAAGCAATAAAAGTCCGGATCGAACGAAAACAAAGGTACCTAAAAGAATAACTCGATTTTCGTTGATTCGTCGAAATAATAAACCGGCAATTTAGCCTTCGATGACGACGACGATATAACATAAAAAAAACATTTTGTATTCGTTAAATTTTGCGGTAATGCGATGTAATTAAACAGGTGACACCAGCGGCTCTAAATGTAACGTTATTTTGCTCTAAATTCCGTTTTATTTAGAGCAAAACAGCAACAGCAGTTGCAACGGAACTGAAAGGTCAGGATTCTTCTACGTTTACATTCTTTTTCATCTACTTTTTCATCTACTTTTTCATCTACTTTTTCATCTACTTTTTCTTAAATTTTGCGGTAATGCGATGTAATTAAACAGGTGACTCCCGCGGCTCTAAATGTAACGTTATTTTGCTCTAAATTCCGTTTTATTTCGTTTAATTTCGTTTAACGGCGATTTAATGTCGTTGGAAATATTCCAAACGATCAAAGCGATATCGCGAAGTGCCCCGAAACTTTTAATCAAAGGTGTTATTCCATTTTAGTGCATTGTAAACAAGAGGTAATAATAACGTAATTAATTTCGTCCGCCGATTCGCCAATTTTTCCTGTCTGAACACGCACTTGAATCGCATTTAATTATTCAATGGACCGGAACGGCGGTTTGTTTTACCAAACGAAAGCTCATGAATAATTACTTTGTTTTTCAAGTGGTTGTTTATGCCTGTTGTTGTACAAATACAATTTCGTTAATGTGGTAATTGGATTTTAAACAATGACAATTCATTTTCGCAAATTTGAAACTTTCTGTATTTGCTGCAGGTACAATGACAATTCATTTTCGCAAATTTAAATTTCTCTATTATTCCAGGTATCATTACATCAGGAGGGTGTATGGTGGGAGAACGGTTGAGCAACAGCGGTTCTCATCTCAATATAACTTCGCCGGTGCAATGCGCCCCGTCGCGCAAAACTAGCTCCGAAAGTGTACACAGGGTACTCAAAAGCGCCTCCAGGCAGAGCCTCTTAGGTGAGTCACTCGATCATTTCCCTAACTCCAATGTACCAGGAACTCCGGCGAACTCAAAGTAACTCAAATCATTTGTTACTCGTCCTCAATAAGCCAGAAATGTAGAGCATAAAATCTCAATAAATCACGTCGCTTTGATCTATATTCCTTATAAAAATCAAAAGTTATTATAATGGAAACCGTCGCCGAAAGAAAATCCTTTGTATCCGGCATTTTTCCGAATGGATTAATATCTATTCAAGACAAATTTCCATTCGTTCTTCTAGATTAACCCGACCTCTCGATAATCCATAAATCCTCATCGATTCGCCAAGTCATCTCGAAATATTCCACCATACTATCAACTTCTACATTTCATTAAACGATCCCAATATAGTGTCTATATTTCCAGTTAAATCACAGCAATACAGGTAAACATCTGCAATCCCTTTGTGAATTCTCTAGCTTTGCATCCGGCGAAATTTTTCTACAAAATGACACCCACTCGCGCGCTTTTCTCATCATTTACATCTCGGTTTTTCATTTTACGCTGCGAGTAAAATAAAACGTGAGTCTTTAAGCCGTCGAAAACGACCGCAGGTGCCTCCGATTGATCACAGCAAAGTGACAAATGCGAAAACGAGGATATCAATAGATAGAGAATCGAACGCTTGGAAATACCACCAACGATCTCGCCAGGTCCCTTCATCGATCGTTGTTTATTAGGAATTTATCCGACGAGAAATGTTTATATCCTCGCTAAGACAGCAGATGAAAGCTATCAAAGTCATCATCCATGTTTTTTTTCGAGCGTCAAAAAACGAACGCGAATTTTTCATTCAATTTTATTCTTCGTTCTATCGGCAACTTTACCGTTTTATGATGGAGAACGCGTCGCTCGGAGAAAGCGACGTGAATCTAACCGACGAAATTATCACCGAGCATCTCACAGAAGCCGAAATCGCTTACGAGATATGCCAGCTGGTGGGGGCCCGGTCCTGTCGCAGGGCCGTCAAAACGGCCCTCAAAATGGACAATCTCATCAACATCGAGAAGAAAACCTACGCGGATCTGCTATCGCTGCCCAAAAAGTGAGTCGGTAGGCTCCGAAAGGCCAATCGAGCAACCATCGCATTTGTTCCAGACATTATTTGGAATGCACGCTCGTGCCCATATTGATTAACGGCATCACCCACGTGGCGCAGGAGAGACCACCGTGCCCCATCAAAACGTTGGCGGTGTTCCTGCTGAAGAACAAGAATTTCTACGAAACCGACGCCGAAATCGAGGCGGAGAGCAAACCGAGCGCCAACGTCGCCAAATCAAGGTCCAAAATCGCCGCCTTCGTATCTAGATTATCGACTCGCACCTAGTCTATCAAAACCATTACGAATTATTAAGTTGTAAATTATAGAGTAATCGTACCAAAAACCAAATCTCTATTCGTTTTAATCACACCTTCCCAGAGTACCGAAGGATTAACTCAAGACAGTCGGGTTTGTTGTATTTGCAGATCTGGTGGGATGCAAGCTGGGCATGTCTAGGCAACCGCGGCCGCACCAGCAGCACCACTACCATCATCATCAGCAGCAGCAGCAGCAGCAGCAGCGTAACCAGCAGGAGGTGGGGTACTATTCGTCGTCGCGCGACAGCATCGCCTACATTCGGGCGGCGAACGTGAGCTCGGCGGCCAGCGAGCTGGATTTGTCGCGCAAGGCTCGTCGAAAGGACCTGCGCAACCGGCTGAAGTTGCCGTCGAGCGTCGCCCTGGCCAGTTCGGGCGAGGGGCCGCTGTTGGGCGCCTGGCGGACGGCGCCCGGTTCAACGGCCGGTACCAATCCGCCGTCGTCGAACCACCTCAACAGCAACAGCAGTTGCAACGGAACTGAAAGGTCAGGATTCTTCTACGTTTTCATCTACTTTTTCATCTACTTTTTCATCTACTTTTTCATCTACTTTTTCATCTACTTTTTCATCTACTTTTTCATCTACTTTTTCATCTACTTTTTCATCTACTTTTTCATCTACTTTTTCATCTACTTTTTCATCTACTTTTTCATCTACTTTTTCATCTACATTGTCTTCTACATTCTACATCTAGTACCATTAATATTGTGTCAGTTAGTTAATTGGCACCTTATTGAAGCTATGTTTTGCATGTTGGGACCTGCTGGTATCACCCAATTATTTGGTGAAAGAAGTTTGTAGTAGTTTGATCGAGAGAGTTCATTTTGCCAGTTATTTATAATGAACTACTTCAATCAAACAAGGTTCTTGGTGTAGCTGAGCATAACTCAAATAAATCTTTCCATTGCTCTTCAAAGACAGCAAAGTCTTCTTTCAGATGGAGAAAAGCTGTTATTGCATTTGCTCAAATCTTGCTATTGTTCCCTAGTTTGATCGATATTGCCAATTTTATTATTTATAATGACTACTTTAGTCATACAAACTTCTCCAGACATTTCACCTATGTACTTAATGTTACTAATGACATTGACAATTTTTTCAAAATAGTTTTACGACTTTCATTTAAATTACACGAAAATTCCAAACTACCGATGGCGCTGGCGTTAATTTTGAGGAAAACAATCAGACCGTTGGGTAAATACTAAATATCGGATGCACTTGGTGATTTTCGTATACGAAATTTATTGTAGCTCTCAGCCAGTCGTGCAGACCCGCCGCCGGTTTTCAGTCCAAAAAATGGTTAACCCCGATTTGTCGAGCGAATAACCAGGCAATGTTGCTCCCCAAGGCGAGCATCGACGCTATTTGGAGGAGAAAAATGAGCGAGGACCACTCTAAAATGTGGGGCGTCGAGAAAGTTGTAACTTTGAGTTTGCTCGGTTTGATACCGGGCATGATCCTCCAACCGGGGCATAAAATTCTCGACGACATCGTCTGTTTATTGGTACTCGCCCACATGTTTTGGTAACTGCTAATAAACGAGCTCTACAGCTGGTGCGAATCCATCCCGATGATCTGTTGGTTTCAGGGGATCCGAAGCGATTCTGGCCGATTACGCGCGACCGATAATTCTGGGAAAAATCCTGCCGAAAATAGCCACCCTGCTGTTGTACCTCGTCACCATCGCCGTGGCCGGTGGTTTGTTGAACATGAACCACAATTACGTGCCGGTCAGTTGTCTTATAAACAGAATTTGGGAATATCCCGAAAAAAACGACGATGAAGACGACGAAAAGAAGAAATAACCGTTTACAGAGTTTTCCTATATCTTATTTTATACAATTATACATTATATTAGATATTTCATTGGTGATTTCGTTTGCATATACTCTTTGAAGAGACTCCGCTCGATTTCCACGTGGATCTCAGCGGAGCGTTGGGAATTATTTTTTCACCCTAATTAAAGTTTTCGATGGACCGACTGCTGTTTATCGGGATCCGAAGGCAGATAGGCCGTTTTGCTTTTCCGATGCTTTGCTGGATTTCCATTTCAATTAAACCGGAATTATTGCTGTACATATCCGGCGGAAAATCTCGCTAGAATCGACGGAAAGAAAACAACGAGAAGCAAGCATTAATTAATCGAAAACAGTGGTGTTTTTGTTGCAATTTTTGCATGGAATTTCGGAATCAATTTCGCGAAAACTAGTTGTAAAACTGTCTTCCCGAAGGGAATTCTCAGATTTCCCCGCATCGTTAATCACTTCGCCAGCGACGACAACAAAACCGAAATTAATTTGAAACAACTCCGGTAGAGTAAGTAGGTATTTAAAACCTTCGGAGGTATTTGCATTTAAATAAAAAAATCTCCATGTAATTTCATTTGAAGCGCTCCCCCGCCGTTTAATTCCGCCGAATATGTCTAAATAATCCGGCTCGGCGCAAAGAACGATTCGCCATTTCGCCATTTTACCATTTCGCCCAGTCTCCCCGTGCATATTAAACAACGCGAAATTACTCGACGTGTAACATCGTTAGATATAATCCACAGGTTAGAAGCGCAGAACGGCGAATAAGATGAAATTTCCGTGCAGACGGGAATCGTCTTTAGCGCGGAATGTTCCGCCTCTTCGCTTTCGTTGCTCCTCGATATTACAACGGAGGAAATTTAAATAGAGTGCACTTTTGCATTTCCGAAGGTTTCGCCCAATTTAATCGAATTGATGCGCCGAAACGGTGTACAGATTTCTTGTAATTCTTTCACTTGTAATTTCCATTCTGGAAGAGGATTTGGTAATGTTAACTACCCTGTAGACAGAGCGCAAATTGGCTGGAATCCAAGAAGTAAGAGGAAACCCTCACTACAAGGGACAGTTCATAAGTCACTTTACCCACGACTGTGGGACAACTTACGCATATTATTTCATTGTTCTGCGGGTTATTTATGGACGGGATACCGACGATTAGTAAGTAGAAGGAGCGTTCCTGGGCCCGAAATGGAGATCCAGCGACTGTTCGTAATAATGGCGTCGAAGTTTTTAGGGCGCCACAAAGGATAATTTAGTCTATACTATATGCGGTGAATAGATAAAACAGTCGTAGAATTTTCCCGTGCTGAATTTTAAGTAAGGCGTAGAGCCGAGAGGGTGCGAGTTCTTTCGTTTTATCTCTGCAATCAACAAAGTAATAACTCCAGTTTTGCTTGATTAAAGAATGGAAACTTTAACAAGTTACTCGCCGTTATTAAAATGCGGATAATTTTCAAACTAGCGTTTAAAGTTTGAACGTTAATGAAAAAAAAAAGAAACAAGAAAATTGCTCTGTAGAAGTTCATCAGAAATTTCCTTCGATACAATAAATACCACAATAATTAATATATCTACTAGGGAAATGCTGGATGAAAAGTTTCTCGCGTTTCGAAATTCGAGTTTTTCAATTTGGTTTAAAAGGGTTAAATCGGGGTGAATGGAGATAACCAAATGAGCTGCAGCCTCCTTTATTTCCCATCGACTTTCCTCCGAACTTTCGCCTAATACAAAACAAATTAATCTTAGCGAGTTAGATTTTGGAAACAACTGAGGCGAGAATTATCTTCGACCGGCTCGACGCTAACTTTAAATCTCTTAAGCCAATCTACGGACCCGACCTCTCTCTTTTTCTATTAGACAGACCTTTAATCCCGGCATTTAACTTCTTCAATTCGATTATACCAATTTCGCTGTATATATACAGAAAGTTACCCAATTCGATAGTACGCTCTGTACAACAAACTTTAAATTTAAATGTTTGCTCCCGATGGAAATCATTTAAAATCCTCTTAACGCAGCACTTATACCGAAACTTACAGTTTCCAACATCACCACGACCTTGTAACCGAGTCGTTAAATAGCCATTAAAATTCATACGAAAATAATCCGAAATACTCTTCGTTAGCATATTCAAAAGACTCCCGCCGTAATTTACCCATATCTTCAATATCTTCCACACAATGGTTCTCTTCAGGTTCCATTAGTTTCGATACAAATCTCTTTGATCTTCTCCTCGTTGAACTTTAGTTCCACTTACATCTGGCGAATCGTGGAACGGATTAAACGAACACCTGAAGCTAAAATTTTCACTAGAAAATTTAGGGCTATTTTCATAAAGTTGGTTCGTTTGTGGTGTTGTGTAATGATCGCTTTTGGTTCTACTAGACGATTTTTTGTTGCAGTCGCTACGGATTTCGCAGGGTGGATTCGTACAGCTCGCGATTGAGAGCAGGTCCGCAGAATTGGTCGTTCGTCTTCGATCCGGCTGGAAGGCTGTGCTACTACTGGTCGATGGTTGTGTCATTAGCATTCCTATACAATTTTTGGGTCATTATTTACCGATTTGCCTTTAGAGAAATAGACGGTAAGCGATACAGCTTCGTCACCAACAACACCAATTCAACGTGGAATTCATCTATTTTACAGGCAACACGATACTGGTGTGGTTCTGTCTGGACTACTTCGCCGACTTCCTCTACCTGGTGGACATTCTGTTCCACTTTCGCACCGGCTACCTCGAAGACGGCGTCCTGCAGACCGACTCCACCAAGCTGCGCCAGCACTACATGAACTCGACCACGTTCTACATTGATTGCCTGTGCCTCCTGCCGCTCGATTTTCTGTACCTCTCCGTGGGATTCAACTCCATACTGCGCTCCTTTCGATTGGTAAACCACGCACTCTTCAATTCGCTCCCTTCATCCCACTTCTGATCCCACTTCTGATCCCACTTCTGATCCCACTTCTGATCCCACTTCTGATCCCGCTTCCGATCCCACTTCTGATCCTAGTGTTGTTTTGATTGACGGGTTAACTAAATGGATGTTTTTTTTTCGTGTTGGGTGCAGGTGAAGATCTACAGATTCTGGGCGTTCATGGACAGGACGGAGCGGCACACGAACTACCCGAACCTGTTCAGATCGAGCAGCCTGATCCACTACCTGCTGGTGATATTCCATTGGAACGGGTGTCTGTTCCACATAATCTTAAAAAACGACGGGTTTGGTTCTAAAAACTGGGTGTATAGTGATTCGGAAAGTACAGACTATGTGAAAGCTTATTTGCAGAGTTACTATTGGTGCACGCTCGCCCTGACCACCATCGGCGATTTGCCGAGGCCGAGGAATAAGGGGGAGTATCTGTTCGTTATATTTCAGCTGCTGTTCGGGTTGTTGTTGTTCGCTACGGTCCTGGGCCATGTGGCTAATATCGTTACATCAGTATCGGCGGCTAGAAAGGAATTTCAGGGTAAGTTTTTTTTATGTTTTTATTAGTCTACTTGTTGAGCATTCGAGTGTAAATAGTATTCGATTTGTGACATAAATTAATTCAAGCCTAAAAACGATTTATTTAATACGATTTTTCGCTCTAAAATACTCTAAAAGTAAGTTTTCCTGCTGCGGTAAATTAGCTGGAGCAACTCAGGAAGGAAATATGGCCCGGAGCAACGGAAAAACAGACCCAGTAATCCTTAAAAAAACTGTCGGTCATTAAAAAGCAATTCATTATCGAGTTATGTGTAGCTTTAAAAGTAATTAGAGGAGCTTTAGGAACACCCTGTATAGACCTTAATCAGACCAAAAAAATTCATCGATTATTACAGTATTATTATCGATTACATCACCGCGATATTGTTTCTTGCGATTTAATGATCTTATCTTATTCATTCTGTCCGTGACGGGTCGCCTTCATTTTTAAATTGGATCGAAAATCAATGGGAAGTTTCGGAATGAAATTGAATTTTCCTTCGCCAACTGACAGATGACAAACCGAGTAAAAAGTGGCTTACACAACACTTTATTTCTGCTGCAAAAACGGCAGGACTGCGAAAAGGAGCAATAATAGCAAAAATATATATCAGATGGAGAGCGATACACCGGCTGGGAGTTTATTCAAATGAAAAAAAATCAGTGGCGCGCTTTACCATCAAGAAAAGGGTGATTTTTTTGTTGTTTCATTGGTAATTCTACCTTCTTTTTTTTATAAATTTACATACAATATTTCCACATCTTCAAACAAGCTCATCTATCTACATATAAAATAAATCTAATCTCTCTCTACAGTATAAAATGAATACCCACCTAAACGACAAAACCTCCATTCATTCCGCGAACAAGTTGAGTAAGTACGAAACACGAAAAAATTAAATAAAAACCATCATTAATATCGTTTGAGAGGAAGCTTAGCGAGTACCTAAAACCCACTTTCGCAGAAGGAAATTCGAAAAGAATGATGAACGGTTTGCTGGAATTTCGAAATTGATTAAGAGTATTAAAATGAAATACGTCCTGGAGACCGGAGGGATCGATGGGATGATAAATTTCAGGATTTTTTTTTTGTGCGAATAATTTATTCCGCTGCGCGAGGAAAGCGCTTGACAAAAAACTGATTTCGATCGTTAGAAATATCTGCGAAAATAAATCTTCTTTTGCATTTTAAATTGTTGTTTGCAGATTGTTTCATCAACACGCCCATGCCAGGCTCGCTTGGTGTATCATGTTTCCATGCCTTTTCAATCTAAATATTGAAAAATATATGAACGGTTGGGAGAGGAAACTAATCCAATCTCTAGGAGGCGCATTTACGCCGCACAAAATTAAATTTCTGGCGAATTTCTGGCGAAGAGCCAATACTACAAAAAAAAAACGCTTTTCTTTTTGCAACTTGAAGTAGTGTTAAGTACAAGCATTTAATGGCAAACAAACAGATTATCTAGTAAATAAAGCAATGTGTATAAAAATTATTAGAAAGTGGGCTGTAGCTAAAATATGGTTAAGTAGAAGCTTTGTTGAATGAAAGCTTTCGATCGCGGGTTTATCCAAAGCTATGCAAAACATCCCATTGGCAACAATGATTCGTCATTCGGTGAGATTAGTAAAAAAAATCAAAAAGACACCCTTCGCATTTTTCAGATTTATACCCGCCATAAATTTCCTTTTCCATTACGGAAAATCCAACACAAAATAACCTCGTTTCAAAGAACAGACATGGAAAAAATGCCGCAATAACGTCCTAATCCTCGTTCACCGAGGCAAATTCCTCCTACTTTGTATCAATTTCTCCGAATCCGCGTTAGTTTAAAAACATCCTAACCTCATTCGGCTCATTGGGGAAACATGTTTCACTGATAAAGCGCCACTTTCCTGCTCCTTCACCGCCGCCTCTCTCACTCACGGAGCGACAGGATAAAAACGGTTTCATTTGCAAGCGAAACAGCCAGGAATACCAATTCCTGCCACCTTTACGGCTAATAAAAAACCTCTAAACAATGAGGAAATTGTGAAAAACACAGAATTCTAACATTAAACTATTTTGACAATTTATCCAAGTGCATTACGCTCACCATCTTTAACATGTTCCAGTGCACTTTGGGAACAGTTAATCGGGGTTAGAGCTCCGCTATCATTATCATATTGCACTGGATCGCTCCGGAATGACCCCGGTGTAGAACCAATACCGAAATTACAACTTAAGCGTCGCGACGCCATCGGAGTCATTCACGAGCACCTCCAGCCAAATTGATTAAGCGATCTCCAATTAGCCCGTCGACGTTTCTAAAATGTTATTGGAATAATTGAACGATTACAATTCGGGCTGGAATTTCTCGCTATATTACTCGGTATAGAGGAAGTCTAATACGATGGATTGATAATAGTAATTTTTCTGTGAAACTAAAGATTCTTTAGAGAGATTAACTTTAGAGCTTTGCAAGAGATATCATCCACGTTGATGCTGTTAATTATTCTATTTGCTTTGACTAAACGTAGGTATTTAGATCGAGGAGATTTATTCCATTTAACGCTTGGTAGTGCAAAATCTAAGATACCTAAGGGAAACGGTTTTAAGAGGATTAATCTAACCAGAGGGATTGTCTCATCTGGTTCGGGCGTATAGAGGAGACACAATGAACCCTTTGGACCGCAATATACTTAACCCTTTATTTACATGGAAGGTTTATTCCCGATAAATCAATGCTAGCAATATCAAAACCACTCAAAAACTTAAAAGAAATATACCAAATCTTCTAGTCATTAGAAAATTTCATCTGTAGCATTGTTAATGTTTGGTATTCTGGCAGCTCAAAAACCTCTCGTTTGTTAACATGCATAATAGTGGATAGAGGAACAATAAAAACAGCGTCCTGTTCCAGTTTAACGAAGAACAAAGCGCTGTATCGCCTTCGGAACAACTTTGTTTACCATGTTATAAAAGCATTAGAGTATCGTACGAGCAATTATCCGTGCAATCCGGTTGAAGTCGAAAAAAAAAAACCGGCGCGTTGTAATCGAAACGGGGAATTTTCGCCCGCTTTCCAGGCCATCCAGAGTCTGGCTCTATAAAGAATAATATGAATAAGGAAAGGGGAAAATCACCGAGTACATCGCCTGCCGATGGAATTTCCCCATTTTTCCGTATATCTCCGGTTGTTGCGGAATAACACTCCCACGTCACGTTCCAACGGGTATCATGCGGATGTGTTTATAAAAATTTTTGCGCTATGCGACTATTCACCAGTCGCTGGAATATTATAATGTGGATCGTTTGCGAATAAAATGATTTTTTTTTGTCGCGAAACAGTTATTAAATATTGCTAAATATTAAGTACTGTTTGACAAGAATTTAATAATAAACCGCAAATAATATCGCATCGTGGAATTACTCTGTTATTTCCATTATTATAATCGTTAATCAAAGCTCTGTTAATTCGCGGTTTTTGTTATTCCTGTCGAATTGTACTCAATATTTACATGCACCTGTCGATGCATTTTCCTGTTAATTGTATCCATTACAACTGTAACACGAAACAACTAAATTTAAAAATGCATTACTCGTGCACTAAAATGCTTTGTGTTGCTCATCTGCATACTGAAATTATAATTACCTATACAGGGTGTTTGATTGGTTAATGTAAAAAAAACTTTAACTGTTTATTAAGTCGTTATTAACTAGATAAAATTATATTCTAATGAGACGTTCATATATGATAAAATGAGATAAATATGAGGATATTTACTAATGAAACGCCTTGTAAGTAACCCATATAAAATCAGCGATTAAAACCGATGGTAATTTTTATGTCACACACTGTATTTGTTGTAAATGATGCTAAATAAATTCACCAATCATTTTTTCTCTAATGTTCGCAGCAGACAATCCGGCAATATGTGAGTAGGCTTTTGTTTTTCCCCCGATAAAGTACCCTCAATTTCCATACAATAGCCGTTTTCTCTCTTATTCTACACCCGATTGCCCGCTGCTTGTAATACATCCCCATGGGCGTTTGCAGAATTTCAAAATTATTAAATTATTTCCGAACACATCGCTTTTTTTAACGAACATTTTTAATCGGTTATCGATTCATTTTCGTCATCAAAAACCGCACTCGATAAATTGCCAATTTTGTCATATTGTCGAATAAAAAATGTACATGTTCGCATTGCGGTAAAAACAAAATTCTGAACACGCCTATGCCTTTAAGATTTTTATTTTTTCCCTGATTAGACCCCCGAAGCTAATGGATGCCGCTTTTTCGTTATTTGTTTTACTTACCATTTTCGCTTTCGAGGGAACGACGTTGTGTAGCGTTAAATGGATACAATACGTCGGCGGGAGGAGCTGGAAAAAGGGGAAAATTAGTTGAGTAATTAGCGGTTTTTATTTATATGTGGACGGACGAAACGGGAGCTTTATAGTCGTCGTAAATTTAGCGCGATTAAAGTCTTTTTTTGCCAGTCCTACTTATTGTTAGACAGACGAGATGCATGTTTTATATTCTATCTAATAATTTTTGCACTAAGATATTTATTATGTATCCCTTATCCATTGCTTGGCTAATTAAGCCGGTGTTTTATCAAATATCGCTCGAAATGTTTCTATATTTGTTGAAACACTAGCCATATTATTTTATATTCAGGCATATTTAGTAGAATGCGTATTATAAATTTAAGTGGTTTCATAAAATTGGAAATAATACTCCACTAATTATGCCTTTAATTGTCCCTTTTAAATAGCTAGTTGTATATTCCATTTATTCGATAGCATGTTTTAATGTCTTTTTGCAACTAAACAAAACTGGAGAATTCATATAAAATTAATCATCTAATTACATTTAGTAGTTTATTGTAAACAAAGATGAATCTTTCGCTATATTACTACGATAACAATCCAGCTTTCCACCGAGCAAGTTTCTTTCAATCGTTTCCATTAACTCAAAGTCCGACGATCGTTCGTCGAAAGTTCGCATAAAG